TCATCTAGAGAACCGATAGGTATCCCCAATTCACCATCTGGTTTGATTCTTTTCCTTTTGTCTTGTTAGCTTCGTCATGCAAATACGATTCTCCTCACAAACACTTTGACTTGAGTTCAGTTTATTGAAATTATCCATCCATTGACTACAAAACATTTTCAAACTAAACAGCTTCTTTGTCTTGTTGGATGGAACAACGCCAAACACGGTACGTTCTCAAGAAAAAAGCCTTTTTTGTTTTTGTTTTTTAGTTTAGGTCAACGAGTTTAGACACATGGAGCCCTGAGCAGCTCAAGAAGATGGTGTTTGGTGGCAACAACACCTTCGAGGCTAAGTACACTTCAAGAGCTGCTAATTTGTATAGGCGGATTCTTGCTGAAGAAGTTGCTAAAGCCATGGCGGAAGAAACTACCTCTGGTTTACCGTTGAGTGTTCCAGTAAGCCTAAGCCGTTTGTTGGTTTTAAGTTAAACTGGAAAACAGAGGTATCATCCATAATCCTCTAACTAGTTTGATTACTAGGCTGAAGAATCAAAAGAAGCAAGGAAGTTGTTCTGGAACGCAAAGTCTATATCCTCTTCCCAGTTTTTCGACTCGTCTGATCTTGAATCAAGAACCACCCTTGATAAGTTATTGGTTAGTACATCTGCCACCATTATCACGTCAAACACTTGTTGCGTTACTGTTGGACATGGGTTTCAACAATAGTCATTTTAGAAGCCCATTTCCGGAGAAGCCTAGCAGGCAGAAGCCCGACGAGCTCGGCCCAGAGGATGGAAGCCCAACGAGCCCACCTTATTCTCTCCACTTATTAGTATAAATAGAAGTCNCCATCCCATGATTTAGAGGAGGATGATTGGATTGGAGGACGAGCATAAAAGAATTTGAGAGCTAAAAACAAATATTCTCTGACACTAAAAAGGAAAGAATCTCCTGATCGAGTTCGACTGATCAAGAAATATAAGAACTGTTCACCGAAAAACTTAGCAGGGTTTATACTCATCATCTAGTTCCGACCTCAAATACTCATTCAACGACCTCATATCTTCCAAGCTCGATACACAGTCCTCTCTATCACGTACAATATAATTTGCTGTAATCTGCTTCC